TAATTTTGCTTTTGTGATGTTATTAAGTGGTCACTTTGGTGCTTTCTGATTCCTTTTACAAAGAAAAAAGGTTATGATATGTAAATATGAAGTTTCTATGTAGTCCACAAAGCTTTGACCTCTCTTGATTTTGAAAAAAAAATCATTTCATTATTATGAATATATTTCTTGTGGTCTTCAACTTTTCCTAATTTTGTACTAAAGTGATTCCATATAAAAGTATATGTTGATTTAATTTGAAGTATCTGTTCTTTTGTAGATCTTATCTATTTTCTATAAAAAGATGTGTATGATCCAATTATTTTCATTGCTTTCATAAAGCAGTATAATGTGAGTTCATACAATATTCCATGAAAATATGTCTTTTATCACCTTTGGGCTTACTAAAATCTGTCAACACTTTTATTTGCCTATGTTAAGAGAATCTGTGAACCATCATTTCATTTGGCTGCATATACGTTCTTCTATTTTCATTTGCAGAAAAAAGTCAAGAAGGATGCAATTCATTTTTTCCTCTAGTAATATGTATTCTCTTTGTTCACTAGATTAAGAGATCACAGTTTGGTTAAAGTTTATAGATAATCTAAACCAATCATTATTGATATCCTTTTATTTCCTTTTCTATAATTACTGAAGAAATAGAAGTGCCAATACTGGACTGGTAGCTATTTTTATTTTTATGGTTTTTCTTCAGTTGCCAAGGCCAAGAAATTGAACATCAATTGTCCAGTCTGGTGTTGATGACTTTCTTTATGCTTAGCTAGGCTAGATCTCATAAATCTGGATCCTTCATCAAGGAAAGTACCATCCACATCCAGAGAAAGAACTCTGGGGTCTGAATGCTGGTGGAAGCATGCTATTTGTTCCCTTTTTTTTGTTGTTGTTTTGTTTTCTTTCTTCTGTCTCATGATTCCTCCCATTGGTTCTAATTCTTCTTTACAGCATGACTTACATGAAAACATATTCAATATGAATGCATATGTAGAGCATATATCAGATTACATGACTTCCTGGCAAGTGGGTAAGGAGAGAGAGGGGGAGAAAGTTTAAAATGCAAAATCTTATGGAAGTGAATGTTGAAAACTCAAATTTAATTAATTAAAAAAATAAAACTAAGTCCTTCTGTATTTTTTATGATTGCAATTTCAAACCTTTAAGTGTGGTATAACTTCCTAGACTTTAAAATCAATGGCCATAGGTTCCCAGAACTTGGGGTTACCTTCACGTCATGATGATGCATTGTCCAAGTAGGTCTTTGTTGACCATGAAATATGGCAGTTACTGAAACTAATATAATCAGACTACATTACAAAAAACACAGTGTGTTGTCCTATTGTTCTCTTCCATGTTCAGAACACACTTGTAGACTTGTGTTGACTTCTCAGTGACACATTTTGGTAAGGACATTGAAAAGCCAGAAAACATTCAGAAAATTGCATTCCAGATGGGGAGGGATCTTGTGACCATTCTATATGAAGATAATTTAAAGGAAGTGAGGCTGTTTAGTTTAGAGAAGACAAAACTTAAGGGAGATATGATGCTGCTTTCTAGTACTTCTAGTATTATTATGTGGAAGAGGGATTAGATTTATTCGGCTTGGCCACAAAATGAAGTACTACAAACAATGGATAGAAGTCACAAAAAGGGAGCTTTTGGCTTTATGGACAGAAAAAATCATGAACAGTTTTAACTACATGAGAGTGAAATGGGATGCCTTAGGAGATTGTACGTTCTCCAACACTTAGAATATTCAGGTAAAAGAAGGACAACCACTTGTTGGGGATATTGAAGAAAAGTTGCTTATTCAAGTTGTTTGGACTAAATGGCTTCAAGAGTTGGTTTCAACAATTAGATCCTACAATTCTTTGGCTTTAAATTCTGGATAGCATTTTCATAAGAAGAAAAGGTGGGAGAAGGTTTTCTTTGTTATGGACAAAGGTGGGGTGTTAGCACGTAGTACCATATGTTGACTATGCAATAAAATTAATATACAAGAAATTAACCAAGAAAGACAGTTTATAAGAGTTAAAAAGAGTAGGTAAAGTCTCCCTACTTCCTCACAAAAAAAAATCCTTCCACTATGGGAATATTGGGATAGGTGATCTCTTGGTAAAAAAAAATCATGTTATTTTGGGCATAATTTCTGTACAAATGTAATGCTGAGGGAGAGACCTAGTTGTTTCCACATTGGCTTAGAATTGTTATTTAAAATTTTCATAATAAAAATGAATGTTTTCAAAGTACATGAGTTGATATTTAGTACGTCTAAATATGTACAGCAAGCACTGTTTCTATTATACCAACTCTGTTACATTTACATATTATATGGTTTCTATTTTATCTGTGTAATGGAGTTTCCTTTATAGCTATATATTGCCACCCATTCCATATATAACAGTATTGACTGAAAGCCAGTACTAATAAAATATAGCAGTTTTGTATTTGTGTTTGTTACCTGCCAAACAAAATATGGTTCTAGAAAGCAGCAAGGCATTTTATTACAGCTGCCGCCTTTGCATGTACCCTACTCCTCCACACCCCACCAACACCCAGTGGAAAATGAGCTCCTGGAAGGTGGATGTTGAATTGTATCATGTTTTTGTATCCCCACATTCTAGTACAGTTTCTTGCACACAGTCAGCAATTGCTACATCTTCCTTGAAGTCAATTGATGCAGAGGGATTCATTTGGTCCAAGATAGTTGCAAAGAGATGTGTGTGTGTGTGTGTGTGTGTGTGTGTGTGTGTGTAATATGTGTGTATATGTATATATGTATATACATATACATATACTTGTCTCAGTTTTGTAAATCTTATCTAAAATACTTCTTTTTAAAGATATTCATAGATTGAATGTAGAAACCAAATAAAACTGATCTTTTATATATCTTTGGTAGACATATTATGGGAATTGGGGTGGGTTTTGTGTGTGTGTGTGTGTGTGTGTGTGTGTGTGTGTGTGTGTGTGTGTATTAGAATAATGAACTAGATTTGCAGAAGTAACCAGTGATACTTGTGTCTTCTTTTTGTTTCAGTTGTCTGGCTTGAGAAATCATTCACATTTGCCTTGGAAATAAGTACTGTACCCATATACACATATCTTTGGCCTAAAATATATGGAAGGAAAGCTTAAGGGAAAGAAGAAATAAGGCCTAAAAGAAAACAAATATATTCAGACACATTTAATTTCTTTATTTGTTTTTTTTTCTGGCATGTTTACGCGATGCCTGCATATTAAGTCAAAATTCAGTATTTTGTTAATGTCAATTTCAGGTCTACATATTGCCACCCATCTAGATGTTTAGAAACATCCAGATGTGTTAGTGGTTTTCCTTTTGTGTGTGTAGTCAATGTGATTCGATACAGTTTTAATCTGCTGTTTTGGGGAGCTATAGAATTAATTGATGCTTTGAGGGGAAGAAAGGAATTCCTAGATATGTAGGTTAAGTCAAAACTAGTGTTTGCATATTGTTACCACTGGCATTGGTGAACAAACACTGCAATTTTTTTTATCTATCTTGAATACTTCATAGTTAGATAATTTCAAATAAACTTAAAATTGTTGAATAAAAGAGAATGAGGACCCTACGATTTAGAACTGAAAAGGACATTAGATATCACATAGTTCAATTTTTACTATGTCTAGGAAAGTAAGCCCTGGAACTGTGAAGAACTTGCTCAGTATCACAAAGGTAGTAAGTAGGAAAACTGAGATCCACATAAAGGTTCCCAGATTCCAGATTCAGTGCTCACGCACACACAAAAGACTTTTGATAAAATGTCTTTAAATATTGTGAATTACTGAATTGGCAGCCCCTACTTTTTTAGAAATTGGACTGGATTGTGTCTAACAAGATAAAATTGCTTTTCCCCCCACCATTTAGGCTGATGTAGATAAGTGTATTAATGGCCATACCAAATTCTTGACTTGAAAGATGTTACTAAAATCAAATGTTTATAGTATCACTAATTCTGATGTGGCCTGAAAAGTTAGACTATATGAATTTTAAGAAGCTGTTGTTTCAGAAATACCATTAAGTGTTGAACAGTTGTCTTCATAGTTCACGTGTCCTAACTCAGACATGAAAAGCCTCTGAGGATTTCAGTTTTCATGGCTCTCAGAAGGTACTTATTCTGCACTATTTTGTCCTCTGTGATCCATTTGAATACATAACATGTACATAAATAATTGTATGTTATGTCTCTATTACACACTGTACAGTTTACCTAATAGTGTAGCATAGTGGAAGTATTAATGGACTTGGAGTTAGAAGTCTAGATTTGAGGCCTAGCCCTGGATTTACTGGCTATGTGCAACTGGATTGACTATTTCACCTTGATTGACTCAGTTTCCTCATCTTTAAAATGTGAATAACAGCTGCTCTGCCTCTTACAGTGATGTTGGTACAATCAAATTACATCTGTGAAAGCACTTTGTGAACTATAAAGGCTCTCCATATGCTAGTTATTATAATTATTAAGTATGCCATAGTTTTACTCCTAGCCTGATCCCACTCTTTCCATATCACTAAGCGTAAGAGCAGGCTTCTTCTCCTTGCTCTATGTCAATGAATGCTCAGAATAATAGATACTATTTATAAAATATTTACTATCTATTAGGCACTGTGCTAATCACTTTACAATTATTATCTCATTTGATTCTCATAACAACCTTGAGAGGGAGATACTGTGGTTATTATTCCCATTTTAAGGATGAGGAAACTAAGGAAAACATAGGTTAAGTAATTTGGCCAAGGTCACACAGCTAGTAAGTGTTTGAGGCCAGATTTGAGTTCATATCTTCCTGACTATCACATATTATCTACCCCACTACCTAAAGACAAGTTAATATGGATTTGGATTTATTATTCTTTTGGATTTTCCAAAATGCCACTGCCATCTCTGAGCCTTTATTTCCATGATCATTAATAACTGAAAGTTGACCTAATCAGTAATGTATATTCATAGTCAAAGCTAAAGGCCTATTTTTTTCTGTTTCAGGCTATGAAGATTATGATCCTCTATCTGATTCTACATAGTTGGTGCCCTGAGAAACTATGGAGGTTCTTTAGACAACAGATGGAAATGGATGGTTAAGTCCTAGATTTTCTACACATTTTATCCAGCATTTTGATTGACTATATCTTTAAAGCATTTTATTACAACATGTCACCTCTGCTGGCTTGAAACATTCTTAAAATGGTCCTTTTGTTGTTCCTGGCAGTCCTGCTTTTGAAGGAAGATGCTGGTAGGAATGCTGGCTTTCTGGTTTCTGCACAGTCCAATGAGAGGAGAGTGGTTGCTCATATGCCTGGTGATATCATCATTGGGGCTTTATTTTCAGTCCACCACCAACCTACTGTGGACAAGGTCCATGAGAGGAAATGTGGAGAGGTTAGGGAACAATATGGCATTCAGAGAGTGGAGGCCATGCTCCATACCCTGGAGAGGATTAATTCAGACCCAACACTGTTGCCTAATATTACATTAGGCTGTGAAATAAGGGATTCTTGCTGGCATTCTGCTGTGGCCCTGGAGCAGAGCATAGAGTTCATAAGGGACTCACTCATTTCTTCAGAAGAGGAAGAGGGGTTGGTGCGCTGTGTTGATGGCTCCTCCACTCCATTCCGCTCAAAAAAACCCATAGTTGGGGTGATTGGCCCTGGTTCTAGCTCTGTGGCGATCCAGGTCCAGAACTTGCTCCAGCTTTTCAATATACCTCAGATAGCATACTCAGCCACAAGCATGGACTTAAGTGACAAAACATTGTTCAAGTATTTCATGAGGGTAGTGCCATCAGATGCCCAACAGGCTCGGGCCATGGTGGACATCGTGAAAAGATACAACTGGACCTATGTTTCTGCTGTGCACACAGAAGGTAAATTTTTACAGTATCAAGAGATGATACCTTTCTAAGTCATTGACAATGTCTAGCCTTCCTGTTTATAATATTGGTAACTTTAAATACTGTTTACTCTTCTGGCTTGGACTCAGCTGTATGGATGTTAAGTAAAGTTTAAAAAATTAGAAGTAGCATTCATTTTAGTTTTCCATAGTGTCAACTTAAAGTTGATTAGAATTACTTTGTGTCATAGGCAGAATTTTAATGTCAATGATCTGTAGAGAATGAAGAGCAAAGCAAGTTTATTCTGACCAGGATGCCCATCCCATGATGATGTTAACTGAACAGGTGATTTACCAGTAATCTAGGTTATGGTAGATCATCAAGAGGCTAAGAGACCTGACCTTTTGAAGGTTGTTGCAATCTATTTAACATTTAATGTAAAATATATGTAGTAGACTAAAGTAAGGAAGGAAGGAATGAAAATGAGGAGAAAATGATCAAGTCTCAGGAATAATACATCAGAGCTACTGCTGCTGCTGGTGGTAGGAATCTTTATGACAGTTTGTGTTATGGAAAAGTAGTGTAGAGGAACTCTGATCAAAAAGAAATTGAATATTTGAGGAAGTAGGGTACTGGTCTATTGAATTTCCTAGCTAACCAAAAACCCATTCTATTTCAACTCTTATTACTGAAAATACTTCAAAAGCTGTAATCCAGTTTTCTACCTTAGCAAATACAGTATATGGACTATAATGTTCCTATGATAATGAAACACTTTACATGGTGTTGGGATTATGAATCTACCTAGGTTTCATCATTGTCTAGTCATGTATGCAGCTAAATAAAAAGGGTTCCTAACCTGAAATCCATGAAAAATTGACATTTTTAATCATTTAATAACTGTATTTCATAAAATTAGTTTATTTTTCAATACCATTTTTTGTTTTATATTTTTAAAAACATTATTATGAAGAGTCCCAATAAGTTTCCCCAGATTAATAAGGGGTACATGATCCATACAAAATGTTTAAGAACCTCTGATCGGAAAGTTGCAGGAGATTAGGATAAAGTTTTAGTAAGAACAGTTTATACTCTGAAAATGTGATTTTGAAAGAAAATGTCAAATGTCAAGTGAGATTTGTTTGTGTGTGAGATTTTTTTTTATCAGTTGCCACTTTTCTCAAAATGCATGTTGAGTAAAAATATGAATTATTTGAAGTTCTAATTTATTTGGAATCTTACATATATCATGCCATAGAAAAGATCATGACTAAAATACACGTAATTTAAAATCATATAGTAAGATCCTCTTCATCCATTTATTCCTATTCATTCATTGATTAAATCAGCAAATGTTTACTGTGGCTATTTTGTTCAAATAACAATACTAGATGTTAGATAGGATATAGAGATGAGTGAGAGGATCGTTACTCTGAAGAGGCTTGCAGTCTAATAGGATAAATAAGGTTGGTACTCAAGCTACAAGAAAGTATAGAGTGTGATGAGCTAATAAATGGGCAGAAAGATAATACTATGGGAATTCATTGGAAAAAGAGACAACTTCTACCTGAATGTATTAGAGATAACTTCAGGAAGAAGATGGCATTTGAATGAGGTTTGAAGTTTAAGTATCATTGTGACAGGACAAATGGTGGTACAATATTCCAGTTGCAGAGAGCATTATAAATAAAATTGTAAAGGTAGGAATGTGAAACTATATATATATATATATATATATATATATATATATATATATATATATATATATATATATATATATATATATATATATATATATATATATATATACACATACACAAACACATACTTACATATATATATTCAAATAGTTGGTAAAGTTACTTTGAGGCATAGCAAGTAAGGGAGTGCTTTGCACGAAATAGTAGGAGTACAATAAATTCTTGCTGAGCTGAATTGAAATAATCAAACTACCTCTTAGTAGGTGGGGAACAGATCATGGAGGTCTTTGAATGTCAACATAAGATTACACACACACACACACACACACACACACACACACACACACAAAATTCAGTGACTCTATCAGGTATTTAAATTGTAATCCTGATTATCTTTGTAGGCCTTTCAAATTCCCAAGCCAATAAAGATGGCACAGGGTGTTGTTTGTTTTTGTCATTTTTATTTTTGTTGTTGTTAAATTGCTGAATATAACACAAATGGTTAGTGGGCAGTACTGCTCTTGTCAAACTTTCAGGAGCTGTCTAATATTCATACACTTCCCCACCCACCCTCAAACACAACACCATAACCCAACATGTGTTATGCATGCTACTTCCTCTCATAGGCTTCTGAATGTTTTTTTTTTCTTTTTTATGGGAAGAAATATCTTTTCATTTTCTGATTCAACCAGTTACATGATGTACACTTTAAGCCATTATTATCCTGGTCTATTTAAGTGAAAGCTTATATCATTTGGCAATCACTTGATGTTTCAGCAGCAATGAGAAATGTTTGCAGTTTTTGAAAATTTTTGAAAGACCAAAAGTAGATTGCTCAATCTGAATCAAAGGAGAGAACATGGCTAAAATAAGGAGAATAAAAGTTGCTAGAGTCATAACTAAGAATTTTTGTACCTAGGACAAATACAACAAATTACATCTAGTGATCTCTAAATACAATAGATAGGTTCTTATTTAATTAATTCTTTCTAACTTGGTACTAGGTGACAATGGGCAGCTAAGTGGTACATCGGATAGAGTGCCAAGCCTAGAATCAGGAAGACTCATCTTTCTAAGTTCAAATTTGGCCTCAGGCACTCAGTAGCCCTGTGACTCTGGACAAGTCAATTAATCTTGTTTGCCTCAGTTTCCCCATCTGTAAAATGAGCTGGAGAAGGAAATGGCAAACAACTCCATTACCTTTGACAAAAAACCTCAAATGGGGTCATGAAGAGTTGGACAGGACTGAAAACTACTGAACAACAGCTAAGTGCTAAGTTCTGTTGTGTCTATGTTAAGGAAAGACTTGAAATACTGCTGTTACCTTCTAAACTGAGCACCTTTTAAGTTTAGAAACCTGTGACAAAGACTCAGGTGCTGCACCGTAATAAAGTCTCTACTGTAAGGTATTCCTAAATTGAATTTCTTTCTCCAGTAGGTCATTCTTCCACTGAGTTTCTACACACAGTGGAATTTTAGCCTATGGAAATGCTGTACTTATCCTCCTAATCCTCATGGGGAATCCCTGATATCAAAGGTGAATCAGTATTTCTTTATTTTTTCAGTGGAGAAATGAAAGGCTTGAAAACAATTCTGCTATTAAAAATACTTTTGAGACCCAAGGCTCATTTATTCCTCCTATACTAACATGTCATGGTACCAGTGACACCAATTGTGCCCTTGGTGAATATGACAGTATTTACTAATCCACAGAGAAGCCAGTAGTTTCAGAATTCCTAGGGATAGTTAAAAGCAGAGAGTTGTATTTCATCTTCAAGGTTAATCTCTCCTGCTGTTACTATCACCTCTTATTTATAGGTGCTCACAAACTCTGAGAATATTACCTGTACACTTTTGTATCTGACTACAAATGCATTCAAGCCTGCAAGGCAAAAAGTCACATTAGATGAGAAAGGAACACGGAAATAGCCTATAAAGACAGCTCGAACATCAGCTCCAAGTATATTGAGAGAAGGGATGAGGAGAGATTTTTAAGAACTCTTCTTGGAGCATTATTTGACATTGATGGAGCATAGCTCACTGGCCATTTATAATTATGTATTATCTACAACTGTGGCATATAGCAACAACTTCTTTCATGTAAATTGAGATACCATAATTTAGATGCTTCTTCAAGATAAAGTATATTTATTATAACAATTGTGTTTGGAATTTTAGGGCAAGTTTTTGTTTTGTTGAATGCAGTGATGAATCATGATTGATTTTTTAAATTCTCCCTTATTAGTTGATAAGGATTGTGCTTACTGGTCCAAGGTATAAAATATGGGAATAATGTTTCTTCCCCACTTTCTACCCCTTAGCATAAAATAACAAGAAAATTTTGTATATATATATATATATATATATATATATATATATATATATATATATATATATATACTATATATATATACATACACACACACACACGTGTGTGTACGTATATATGTGTATGTATATATGTATGAAGATATGCATATATATGTATGTTTATATATACACATATATATGTGTATATATATATATATATATGTTTATGTATATTTATGTATGTATGTATATATCTTTTCCACCCTGGGCAACTGGGCATCTGCCCCATACTAAAGGGATAAAGACTAAGTGTTGTAAGAATAATTGCCATAGAATGGAGGAAAGGGCATGGAATATTGAGTTAAATGACCTCAGTTCTAGCCTTAGATCTGCCACTTTCTAGCAATGTCACTCTTCTGGACTTCAGGTTCTTGATCTATAAAATAAGGGAGTTAGAGTAGGTTATTTATAAAGTCTGTTAAATTTATAATTACGGCATCCTAGGATCTGTTTTTACATCCCTTCTCCTTCTGAAACCATCCTCCATAATAAGAACCAATCATTTTAGTAAAAAAAAAATCATGCAGTATTTAACATTCAAATGAAGCACAAGTTGGATATTTTAAGTCTGGAATTCTGTGGCTCTGTGGTAAAGTGTTTTAGGGAAGAATTAGGCAATGGAGAGTTGGAAAAAGAAGGCATAGGTGCATTTGTGAGGAGGTGAAATTACTCTTTGATGAAAACATTTTGAGGGTTGGGAAGAAATACAGAATAAATCTTTCCAGAATCCCATGAAAATTATCATTTAAACTGAAAGGTACGCTAGAGATTTTTGGAAGATAATAATTAATAGGGATAGGGGCTGGACTTGTAATTTCATTGGTATAGGGCACTGTCAATTGAGTCACTTCTTTAATTCATTCAATAAGCTTTCAATGAACAGGGCCAGACACTATGCAAAGTGATGAGGATACAAAAAGTGGCAAAATGCTGTTCCTGTCCTCAAAGGACTTACATTCTAAT